CCCTGCTCATCAGCACCAGGCTCTGTGCGAGAAGACACTGCAGAGGGGGCAGGCACCCAGGAGAGCTCCCGGGGAGCCCGCCAACCCCCCGGAAGCCTGGGTGCAGCACCCCTGCCCCAGGCCGAGGGAGCTTGGGGCCCACCGCCCAGGAGGAGGTGCTGGGCGGCGGAACGAGCTGGAGGGGTAGCCGGAGAAACCCTCTCTGTTCAACTCACCCAGCAGGCAGTGGGCTGGGAACAAGGGACGCTGTGAGGTGAGGGGCAGGATGGAGGGGCTCAGGCTCCTTCGTTCCTGGGCCTCGGTCAGGAAGTCAGCTGGGGACCCCGAGCAGGGGGCCAGCCAGGCCGGCCTTGGCACCTACCACCCTGTGCCAGGGGCTTTATGCCCCGTCTGCAGATAAACACAGAGACATTAAGGAGCTTGCCCGCGGTCACTCAGCTACTGGGAGGCCTCGGCAAGAATCAGACTCGGCCTTCAGGGATGCTGGGGTCCGGGCCTGGCGCCCCTTCTCCCTGACCCTGCACCTGCACGGCCTGGCTAGAGGGTTCCTCAGAGCAGATGGTGTGTGCAGACGGATGGGATGGGTGCAGGAGGGCACACCTGGGGGATCCCGGCCTTGGGTGCACTGTTAGCTGGTGGCCAGCGCACCCCAGATGGCTCTCGCCCCGCCCCAGGCCCCTGCCCTCGAGCCCCATGCCCCCTCCTCCCCAACAGCAGCTCCGGCCCTGACCTGGCAGCCGCCATCAGGGTGCGGCTAGCCCTACTGGGCTCAGCCCCACAGGTCCTGGCTCAGAGTCCTGTGGCCTTCCTGAGCTGGTCTTGAGGGAATGATGGGCCCAGGGTGTGTGGGGGGGCGGGGGACTGCGTGGGGGGCCTCTGGCATTGCAGGTCACTCAGGAGCAAGGGCACAGTGCACAACTCTGCCCCTCCATGTCCCTGCCGCCACCTGGTCCCAGAGGGGAGCTCAGCCTCAGGCAACGGTGGGCTCAAGCCCAAAGGAAGGGGTCAGCTGCCCAGCCAGACTCTGGTCAGTGGCCACATTACTCGCCCCGGCCCCCACTGCTGGCGACAGCTGGACCAGTGCTGGTCCCCAGGGAGATGACACCCCCCGTGTCATTCTCAGGCGTGGTTCCAAGGCACTGGCCTTCAGGGTGAGTGACCGTGGCTGCTGGCCGTCTGCCCCTGGTGCCATCTGGGTATCTCTCCAGGTGTCGACCCGCTGGCCTGCACCTCTGCCTGGGTCCCCCGCATGGCCAGGCTGGGCTGGGAATTGGGCTGACCCCAGCGTTGGTGGGTGAAGGGAGCTGCCCCTCAGTCCCGGGGCAAGCCTGGCTGACGCTACCAGCAGAGACGTTCTGATGGGCAAAGTCACCAGATGCCCCTTTCTGTCAGGCAGCCCGGCTGGGTGAGCTCCAGTCAGCGTTGGCCGGGCACTGGTTCTGGGTGGGGCTCTGCACATGGCCCCTCTCCCTTCCTCTGGGACCTCCCAGGAACACACCGCAGCATCTCAAAGCCGGGCCCACCGTCTCCCGCTCCCGCACCCATTGTTGCTCGGGAGGCCCTGAGCTTCTCCTGTGAGCACTGTGTAGGGAGCAGTACCAAGAGACTGGGCGAGAGGCTGCCCCGGCTGCTCCTGCAGGAACATATGTGCTGAACTGTCGTTTTTAGAGAGGAGTCGCCTCCCTCCCGCCGCAGAGGAAGCTGCTTCTGGCTTTTTGGCGACTATAGGGCAGGTGTCGGGGCTGGACACGCAGTACAGACACCACAGTCGCTCGAGGGCTGAATCCAGGAACTGCGAGACGAGGCAGCGTCTCACGGACAGCGAAACAAAACCTTTCTCCGTGCAGGCTCTGCCCCATGCAGATGGGCCAGGTCCACGAGCCCACGGTGGTGCCAGGACACACAACATCCAGAGCACTGGGCCCCAGGGTCTGCTGCTACAGGGTCGGGGTACCCCACCTGTACCAGGGTGTCCGGACCCCACCATCAGCCCCTTTTCTGAGATGGATTTCCTTTTCCTTTCCTTCTTCCTGGGGAGGAATCTCCTTTGTGGAATGACCCCTGGACAAAGCCCAGGTGAGTGTCCCCACCCAGGCCAGCAGCCGCCTCTCCCAAGGATGCTACCCCTCCTCCTCAGGGGGCAGCGGGTAGGGTGTTTGCCTTGCAAGCGGCCAACATGGCCAACCCGAGTTCGATTCCTCCGTTACTCTCAGAGAGCCTGGCAAGCTACTGAGAGTATCTCGCCCGCATGGCAAAGCCTGGCAAGCTACCCATGACGTATTCGATATGCCCAACACAATAAGTCTCACGATTGAGACATTACTGGTGCCTGCTTGAGCAAATCGATGAACAACGGGAGGACAGTGACAGTGCTTTTCGGGTCACACCCAGCTATGCACAGGGGTTCCTCCTGGCTCTGCACTCAGGAATTACCCCTGGCGGTGCTCAGGGGACCATATGGGATGCTGGGAATTGAACCCGGGTTGGCTGCATGCAAAGCAAACGCCCTCCCCGCTGTGCTATCGCTCCAGCCCCCAGAAGGGACTATTTTTAAGCTGAACTTCACTGTCCAGCTCGTGCGGCTTGGGGTGGTAGTGCTCAGGGGTCGTGCGGACCTGGGAGCTCACGCTTGGCACAATACACATGCACGACTCACTCCAGAAACGACTGAATTATCTGTCACAGTCACACTGTGGTGCTCAGGGGTCCCTCCTGATGGTGTTTAGGGAACCCTACGCAGGGTTGGGGATCATATTCATTTACTTCCCTTTGGGGGCTCCGCCAGGCAGTGCTCAGGGGCTACTCCTAGATCTGTGCTCAGGGTTCACTCCTGTACTGCCGAACCTACACCTCAGCCTGCTGAGCTGGGCCTCTGGCCCCAAGGCTGCAGTTTCAAGTGAAAGAGACAGGCTGTGGCCCTCTGGGAGTCACCTGAGGTGCTGCTGGAACAGCCAATGTCCCGAAGGATGAGAGACATGCAGGCTGCTGGGGGACTCCCAGGGGGCAAGCTCAGGCTCCGGCCAGGGGAAGGGGCACTGTAGCACTGTCCTCCCGTTGTTCATCGATTTGCTCGAGTGGGCACCAGCAACATCTCCATTGTGAGACTTGTTGTTACTGTGTTTGGCATATCGAATACGCCACGGGGATTTTGCCAGGCTCTGCCGTGCAGGCGGAATACTCTTGGTAGCTTGCCGGGCTCTCCCAGAGGGGCGGAGGAATCGAACCCAGGTCGGCCGCGTGCAAGGCAAACACCCTAGTACATTAAAAAAATAATAATAAAATACGGCTGGAGCAGCAATAGCACAGTGGGTAGGGCATTTGCCTTGCATGCAGTAGACCCGGTGGGCAATTCCTCTGCCCTTCTTGGAGAGCCCGGCTAGCTACCGAGAGTATCTCGGCCTGCAAGCGCCCCGTGACGTATTCGATATGCCAAACACAGTAACAAGTCTCACAATGGAGACATTACTGGTGCCCGCTCGAGCAAATCGATGAAGGACGGGAGGACAGTGCTACAGTGCTACCCCTCCCCGGTATTTTTTTTTTTTTTTGGTATCAGTAAACCAGTGTGGACAGGGTGCAGCTGCCCCCTCCATCGGGGGGGGGGGGGGGGGGCGTTGCTGATGGCTCCCGGTTGAATCGGCGTCTGCAGGGCACGGCCGCCAGCAGGCTTCAGAGAAGTGGTCGCTTGATTTACGGCTCTCAGGATTGCCACGTCTTGGGGCCGAGGTCCGTTCCTCCTGAGTGACTCCTGAGAAACAGCCGCTGCCTGTCCATCGAGTTCCCTCCACTCCGTTTCCGAGGTGGCCTGTCCCCCACAAGGCCCAGCCAGGGAGGCTGGCAAAACAGAACCCACTCTCGCTGTCTGGATATCCTGAGCCCCTGGGGCCCACAGACCTGGGAACACTCTGTGAAACCACAGCTTCAACGGACACAACGGCCGCAAACAGCCCAGGACGGAGCAGCAGCGAGTTCTCCCGAACACCATGGCTCCAGAGCGCCACTGGTGGTAAAACAATTGCCCAGGGGAGGGGCCAAGCGGGCACTTGGGTGTGCCTGACGCCAGTCCAATCCCGAGCACTGCTTAGGGTCCCACCAGGCGTGGCCTCAGAGCAGAGCCAGCTGTGGCCACAAACCCAAAATAACACTCAAGCCAATGGCAGGAACAATGATGAATTCCCAGGAAGGAAGGGCAGCCCCTGGGGCCCGTCCCTGGCTGCATGTGCGGGAGATGGGGACCCCCTTCCTGGGACCACAGTGGGCTGGCTGTGCCCCTCGCCCAAACAGGCCAGGGCTGGACAGGTGAGTCTGGGGAATGGCGTGTTCCATCCCCACCCTCAGGGCTGCCCCGTGTGAGCACCGGAAACGCCTGCACCCCAGACACCAGAGAGGGCTTCATGTTTATTACACCCCCGAAGCCCCGGCCTGCTGCAAACACAGACTGGACAGCGCCCTGCACTGACCACGGCAAGGGGCCCTCCTGGAAAGCCCGCCTGGCACGTGCTGGTGCCAGAAACAGGGAACAGGTCCAGGGAAGCAGTTCCGGGGAGGCCTGTCGTCCTGGGGTGCCCGTCTGCAGGGACTGCCCTTCCCCACGGGCTCTGCCTAGGTCTGGGGCACTGCAGGGGCCTCCCGGCCCCGGGGAGGCCTGACAGTGCTCATATCTGGCCGTCAGCCGGCAAGTGTGACGCTGGCTTGGGGCCTCAGCTCCGTGACAGACGACTCAGGATGCTCCAGGGTGCCGCTGGACTGATAAAAAGGTCCAGGCAAGACACCCTCAGCCTGGACGCCGTTGCCTGGCTTCGTGACCAAGTGCTCAAGCCAGGGTTCCAGGCTCGGGGTCGTCCAGAGTCTCCGGAGTGTTCTGCTCGGCTCCTGGAGGTCTCTGGGTCCCAGGCTCGGGGTCCTCCAGGCTCAGGAGTGTTCCGCTCGGCGTCTGGGTGTCTCTGCTGGCACAGGAGCAGGACGTGCCGCCTCCGCCCCTGGGCTCTCGCTCTCCCCACGCCTAGATCAGGTGCACCAGCAGCGCCGAGCAGCCGGAGCCCAGCGCCAGGCCCAGGCACAGGTAGAAGGACATCACCACGCCCGTGGCCTCGGCCAGCTCCCGGGGCACGATCTTGGGGCCGTAGACGAGGGCCAGGGTGCTGAGGTAGCCGTTGCTGAGCCCCAGCAACGAGGTGAAGACCACGGGGTAGACGTCAGAGCGGAAGAGCACGGTCTGCAGGTGGAGGCGGGGCTGGTAGTTGCAGAAGACCAGGAGGGGCACCAGGCCGGTGCGCAGCAGCACCAGGGCGGGCAGCAGCCGGCTCTTGGGCCCCGGCACCTGGATCCAGGCCGTGACCTGCCGGCCACACAGGTCGGCCACGTTGTACAGCAGGAAGGTGGTGAGCGGCACGAAGAACTTGGTGGCCCACGGGGAGCCCGAGTCCCGGTGGAGGGACTCGATGTTGGTGGAGAGGGCGGGGAAGACGAGGCTGGTGATGAAGAGGGTGTAGGTGACGCAGAAGCCCAGGCCGGCCGTCTTCTTCAGGATGGGGTGCAGAGGGGGGGTCGGGGGGTCGCTGGCCGCGGGGGCCAGCAAGGGGCTGCTGGGGGCGTCCCAGGGCGGCCGCTCTTCTGCAGGCAGTGCTCGGGCGGGCTTCAGGGGCCTCATGTAGTACCTTCAGGGCAGAGACGTATGGAGCAGGGTCAGAGGGGGCTTCTCAGGGTCACGGGGGGTGGGAGGGGGACCCTTGGCCCTGCAGGGAGGAACCAGGTACGGCCGGCCCAGGGTGCGGGGAGGCTGAGACGGCATGTGTGGCCACGTGACCGAGACAGAGGTCCTCCGTCTGCTGGCCCGCTAGCACAAACACCCGACTTCCCCCCACTGTGCGGGGGAAGATCAGCCCTGCTCACCCGAGCTGAACCCGGCCGGGCCTGCCTCCCTGGCTTTGGTTGTCTTTGGGGGGAACGGCGAAGAGATCAAATAGGCTTGGAACAAATGCCCCCTACTGTTGTTGCTGGGTTGGGGTCGTATCTGGTGGCACCAGGGGCTATCCCACTCTCCATGTGCAGGACGCCCAGGCCTCCTTCAGGCAGAGCTGTGCTCCAGCCCCTCGTGCCCAGAGACAGACAGCTTTAAAGTTATAAGGTTTTGTGACAGGGATTGGGGTTTGGGATGGAAGCATCCCGAATTTGGTGGAGGGACGGTGTAATGGTGGTGGGATTGGAGTTTGAATATTGAATGTAATCAAACATTGTGAACTAACTTATAAAATTTTAAAAAATTTAAAAAAAAGTAATGTGGAGTTCATGCCCAATTCAATCAGCTTAATCAATGGCCGAATCAATAGTAGCGCTCCTACATTATAAAAAATAATAAATAAAATTTTTTTTAAAAATGGGGCTGGAGCGATAGCACAGCGGTAGGGCGTTTGCCTTGCACGTGGCCAACACGGCCAACCCGAGCTCGATTCCTCCGCCCCTCTCGGAGAGCCGGGCAAGCTACCGAGAGTATCTCGCCCGCACAGTAAAGCCTGGCAAGCTCCCCGTGACGTACTCGATATGCCAAACACAGTAACAAGTCTCACGATGGAGACATTACTGGGCTTGCTCAAGCAACTCTATGAACAGTGGGAGAACAGTGCTACAGTGCTAAAAAAAAAATAATAAGGTTGGGGCCAGAGCGACAATACAGCAGGTAGGGCGCTTGCCTGGCACGCAGCCAGCCTGGGATCAGCCAGCACCCCGTAGGGTCACCCCAGCATTGCCAGGGGTGGTTCCTGGACACAGAGCCAGAAGTAACCCCTGAGCACTTCCAGGTGTGGTCCCCAAACCAACAATAATACTACTAATAAAACAGAAGTATGAGGGGCTGGAGCGATAGCACAGCGGGTAGGGCGTTTGCCTTGCACGAGGCTGTCCCAGGTTGGATTCCCAGCATCCTATATGGTCCCCTGAGCACCGCCAGGAGTAACTCCTGAGTGCAGAGCCAGGAGGAACCCCTGTGCATCGCCGGGTGTGACCCAAAAAGAAAAAAAAACAGAAGTATGAGCTCCACACTTGCTTGATGCCATGCATCCATAATATGATAATGATAATAATAATAATAACAATAGTAAAAATAGTATACACATATGGTCCTCAGAGCACAGAGCCAGGAGTAAGCCCTGAGAGTCAGCAAATACAGCCTCAACCCCCTTCTCCAAATGAATACATATTGAGGAAATTTTGAATTTCTGTAAAAATAAAAGTCTACTAATAAAAATTAGTAATAATAATAATATAGAAAATAATTGTTCTATGTTATTACTATAGGTTAATGATAAAGAACATAGAATAATGATCCATAATGATATAGAAGACCAATCTGAGTTGGGCAAGAACTCGGACCTCCTGAGGGTGCAGAGCGAGAGCTCGGGGCCACTGCGCAGTGACAGGCTCTGCCCCTGCCGGCCCAGACTCTGCTCAGCCTGGCGTGTGACGGGACACTGGGATGTTGGCTTCCGCCCTGCTTTGGGCCTCTCTGGCACAGGCACTCCCCTGACTCGGTCTCAGTCTCCCGCTTTAAACTGGAAGGGTTCTGGGCCAGGGCAAGAGTACAGTGGGGAGGGCACTTGCCTTGCAGGCAGCCGACCCGGGTTCAATCTCCGGCACCCCAGATGGTCCCCAAGCACCTCCAGGAGTGATTCCTGAGTGCAGAGCCAGGAGTAAGCCCTGTGCACTACGGGTATGGCCCCCAAACCAAGAATAATCAATCAATAAATTTCTAAAGTGGAAGGGTTCCGCTGCTGTGAGCTCTTGAGGGGCTGCCTGTACCCCCTCCGTCATTGTGAGCAGATCACAAGCAGGTCTGAGGCGGTGGGGGCGGGAAAGGGGGTTTCCTTGTGCCTCGTTCCCTGAGAGGCTGAGCGGATGCTCGAAGCCCCCCCGCCCCAGTCTCGTTTCACAATCCCGCCTGGGAGGGGAAGAAGACTTGGGCTTGCCCAGGTTCCTCATCGACTCCGTCCCCAACCCCGTCGGAGCTCACTGCCCACACGGTTCCTCTGCTCAGGCTGTTCCTCAAAAGCCCTTCCTCCCAGCCCCCCTGCACCCCGCCATGTCAGCACCCAGGCTATGAGAGTACGGAGGCTCAGTTCCTCCTGGCGCAGGGGTGCCCAGCACGGCCCTGTCCTCCTGGGAACAGCACTATGGGCGTCCCTTAAAATAAGATTCACTCTGAGAAATGCCAGAAGAAGAACTTTTCTCAAAGGCCTTTCTGTGACCCAGTCCTGACCGAGCTGGAAGTGGCAAAGGGGCAGGAGCGCCCACGCGAGGGCACAGCCCAGGGATGCCCTCTCTGAAGCGGCAAAGATTCTGGGCCTGCCCCGCTGAGGCTGGGAAGCCAGGGTCCCATTTTGCCTGGATGGGTCCTGGATTAAGTCCCGAGGGTCCGGCTTCTAGAAACCTGGGTGGTCCCGTCCCAGAGGGAAACCTGGCTTCCAGCTGGATGCAAGTTTGTGCACCAGGGGCGAGGGAGCAGACGTGGGGGAACGGGGCAGCGGGGGACGCCCCTGCCCTCTGTTCAACCAGTGTCTCAAAAACAACAGTGAACGGCTGGCGAGACAGTACAGCGGGTAGGGCACTTGCCTTGCACGCAGCCGACCCAGGTTGGCACCCCCTCTGGTCCCCAAACGCATCAGAAGTAACTCCTGAGTGCACAGGCAGGAGTAAGCCTGAGTACTGCCGGGCACAGGACAGAGGGAGGGCCGGGCCCTGGGGAGCCCACACAGGCAGGAAGAGCAGGGTGAGCCGGGCTTCACCTGGCATACTCCAGCCGGGGCAGCAGCAGGTAGAGCCCGATGCAGAGTCCCAGGAAGACGTCCGCAGTCAGGAAGAAGGCCAGAGCACTGTCCGTCACGTGGCTGGATGCCGCCAGGTCCACCAGCGCAGCCACAGCACTGATGGTGCCCCCCATGGCTCCCCCTGCAGAGCAGAGCAGAGGGTCAGAAGTCACACATCACCCGTATCCCCCCAGGCCTCAAAAATCTCCTGAGAAACATGCTTCCGTCCACATAGGAGCTGTGGGCACCGTCTGTGGGCTCTGTGTCTGCGGCTGTGTCCGTGGGCTCTGTGTCCATGTGTCCATGGCTGTGTCTGTGTCCGTGGCCCTGTCTGTGGTCCCAGCATCTATGAGCTCTGTGTCCGTGGGCCCTGTGGCAGGGCCCTGGATTGTGGGCTCTGGGTCTGTGTCCCCCCTGGGCTCTGCTGCCCTCGTGGGTTTTGCGGCCTTTGGAGGAAGTGGGTCCTGCGCGTCCCTCGCCCAGCTTCAGGCCTGTTCTCGCGTGGACCCGGAGGGGCTCTCCGAGGAGGCCTTGCTGCCTGGTTTCACCTCCACCCTTGACCCTCCAGCTCTGCCGCCCCTTGGGGGTGTCAGGCACGTGAGTGCGGCTGGAGAGACGCAACTCTGTGGGCTGAGCGCAGGCTTGGCACGTGGGAGGCCCAGATTCGGGTCCTGGCATCACGCGGTCCCCTTGGTGAGGAGAACAGAAGCGTGTTCTCCGAGGATGCGGGAACTAGCTCTACTGCCTGCCGCCACCAGAGCAGCTGAACAGCCTGAGGAACGAGAGGCTGCCAGACGAACCGCGCTGGGGTGTGTGAGAGAACCCTCCCTCGTGACCGAGAACGGGGTCAGAGTGTCCCTGACAGGGTGCTGACCCTGCTAAGCGAGCAACATGCTTAGGGGCTTCTGCTTCTGTCCTGCCCGCCTGCGGCCCGCAGATGCCGCGGTCCATAGCACATACGCGATGCGGCCGAGCTCGCCTTTGCTGGGCCCAAGCTGGAGAGAGCACGCCCCGTCTGGGCCCCGGTGGAACGAATCCTATTTTTAAGGCACTGTGAGGGAGCGTTTGGCTTTTCCCAGCCCAGGTGGGTCGAAATCTCTTAATATCCTGAGCACAGAGCTGGGATTAGCCCCCTCCCCCCGACACACACACACCGCCAGCTATGACTGCACACACACCCACACACCGCTAGGGAGGACCCACTTCCTCCATCTCCCCCACCCCACACACTGCCACGTATCACCCCCCCAAACACACACACCACTGCCATGCATGACCCAAACCTCCCCCCCACACACTACCAGGTCTGAATTTACACACACACACACACACACACACACACACACACTACCAGGTATAACTCAACACCCCCTCCCTCTCTGCATTGCCAGGTATGATCCAAATCCCTGACCCCCACTGCCAGGTATGACCCCACTCCATGCTCTGCCAGGTATGACCCCCACCACCCACACACACACTGCCTGGTATGGCCCACCCCTCCCCCACCCCCACTGCCTGGTATGCCCCACCACCCACCAAACACATTTACTCTTCATAGATAAGGCACTGCAGAGTCCCTTCCCCTGCCCTGTCCCTCAGACCCACCAGCTAAATTGAGGCAACCCCAGGAATGTTCTGGAATAGGGCACAGAGCTCCCGTGTCCTCCCCTCCACAGGCCACAGACCCCCCCCCATACCCCAGGAACAAGTGCACATATACTCTCTCAGTACCCCAGACCCCAAGACACACATACTCTCTCACAGTGCCCTCAGACACTCTCATGGATCAAACGTACACAGACACACACACTCTCTCTCTCTCTCTCTCTCTCTCTCTCTCTCTCTCTCTCTCATTGTCATGGTAACACACACACATTCTCCTCACGGTCCCCTAATGCACACAGCCTCTCACACGCCTCATCACATACACATACCTCATCCTGTCACACACACACACACACACACGCTCACTGCGCACCACGCGCACACAATCACACACCCTACCATGCACACACGCACTCACAGGCCCCCTCACGGGCTCTCATGGACACGTGCCACCTCAGACACATGCCCGCACTCCCTCACACGGTCGCGCGGGCTCTCGTGCACAGGCAGGCCTGGGGCGTGGAAAGCTGCCCCCCCCCCCACCCCTGCATCCCCGGAGGTGCCCGGCCGGTGGGCGCACAGGCCTGGAGCGAGCAGATGGCCGCGGCCCCTGGCTCTGCTCACTCTCGTGTGAGGGCTCATGTGACCTCGGGGTGCTGCAGCCGCTCAGCTGGCCAGATGTCAGGGCCCTGGCCAGTCGACCCCGGCACTCTGGAGTACGATCCCCAGGTCGCCGGACTGACTCCCTATAGGAGAGGGAGTGGGCAGGAGAGAAGCCGCTGCCCAGCCCTACATGCCCCATGGACTCCAGCCGCCGCCAAAAAAAGAACCACGTGGAGGGGCAAAGCTGGTGGTCGATACCTCCCGGGCCGGGAGGGCGGTGCAGGGCACGGAGGAACAGGGCCCAGCCACAGATGCCTTCAACACCCACAAGCCCCTTGGTTGCCAGGAGGGCAAGCATGGTCTCCGACGCAGTGCCATGCCCAGAGAGGCTGCTCCCGGGCCAGGCACTGCATGATCCAGCAGCCTCAAACAGAGCGAAGCCTGTCCTAGCCCCCGGGAGGGACGGCGGGGGAGAGGGTGGCACCAGGGATCAGCACCCACTGCCCAGCCGGACCCAGAGCACCCAGACACTGACACAGTCAGTGCTTGGCTGAGGAATGGACGGACGCATCTGCCGTCTCCGCGCTGCAGAGGGTTCCACGGCGGGTGCAAGTCGGGCAGGCGGGTACTACTGCTCTGTCCCGGGCAGGCAGCTCCGCCTTTATGCTGTCTGCTGTCAATGAATGAAAAAGGGAGAGGGACGTCCACTGCACTGCCCCAGTGGGGGAGGGACGTCCACTGCACTAGACTGCCCCGGTGGGGGAGGACCTGTCCATTGTATGCCCTAGCCGGGAAGGGTCTGTCCACTATATGCCCCAGTGGGGGAGGGTCTGTCCACTGTACTTCCTGCTCTGCTCGAGGTTGCTCTGGCTCTGAGGGGCCGGCCTGTGTCCTTCTCCAGCCTTCTCCACAGGAGCTCCCCCAGCCCTGGGCTTGGGGTGGGAGCAATAAGGGGTCCCAGAGTCACAGAGAGATTCAGGGCACAGACTCACAGGCGCAGAACGAAGGCCGCCCTAACTCCACACCCTCCGGCCGTGTGACCCTGGACCTGTCACCTGGCTTCTCCGGGCCTCAGCTCCCTCGCCTGTGAAATGGGGCCGTGGCAAAGGCCGCAGCCAGCAGGCAGGGCCAGAGAGGAGAGGACTGTGCCAGGAAAGCGCCCATGGATCCGGGTGGCTGTTCGGTCCCTTCGCACATCAAAGCAGCAGCAGCAGCAGCAGGACGCAGCCTGAGCCCGGGCTATAATCCCCGCCCGGCGTGGCCAGAGTTAGCGCAGGCTCCCGGCTGCCCCAGGACCATCTGAACGCGGGCGGGTACGGTCTGCCTGCTGATCCCTCCCCCTTCCCAGCATTATCTCCAGCACAAAGCTGGCCTCGGGGAGCCCATCCTTCAAGACTCCCGCCTTTATCTCATCAGTTATGGAAATACATGCAAATGAGGGGCTCGCCAAAAAACACCCACAAGAAACAGCGCAAAATAAATGACTCGTTCCCCAGACGCCACAGAATCCAGCGATGGGCCCCTTGGACCCAGAGCAGGGGACGGGGAGGGCATGGTGGGGGGAAACGGGGGGCTGCTGGGTGCCCGCTGGGAGCCACCCCTGGTGAGGATAAGCGCAAGAAGCCCAGGGTGACGGGCACTGCAGCAGGTTGCTGGGTCTCTTCACAACTGGACTTGGGAAAAAGTCACAGGGGTGTCCCCTTCTCCAGAAGGTTCCCCAGGACGGGCTGAGCCCGAGGGACACATACCAACAGGAGGGGTGTGACCACTGGCTCCCGCAGAGGCCACTGTCCAGGGAGGCACCTCTCCTCGCAGACTGGGGGTGGCTGCAGTGAAACCCATGTTTGGGGTTCCGGGGGAGTCCCAGAAACTTAGTCATGGGCCTGACTTTGTTTTACTTGGGGCTCCTGAGTACAGAGCAGAAAAGCTGTCTTGCTCCACAGATGGGGACAGCTGGACGCTCAGCCCTCTTCTGCATGCCCAGGCGGCGCTGAGAGGAACTCAGAGGGACAGGGGGACCGGGTAGTGGGGGAACACGTGCCCCCCACACCTGCTACCCGGCCTCCATCATGAGCGGGCACGCGGCTATTTCTCTGAGTGGACGTTGAGCTCTGGGTAAGACTGTCCTGCCTCTGGAATTTCTCACGAGAGGGCTGTGTGCGGGTGTGCGTGTGTGTGTATGTGTGTGCACGTGCGTGCATATGTGTGTGCGTGCATGCATGTGTGTGTGCGAGCGTGTGTGTGTGTGTGCATGTGTGTATGCACACACATTCGTGTGTGCGTGTGTGTGTGTGCGCGCATGTGTTCTTGCATGCGTGTGTGTGTGTGTGTGTGTGTGTGTGTTGGCACCCCAGAAAGGGCTCATCCCTGCCAGGGTGGGTGGTCTCCCAAGGAAGGGAGACTCCCACGAGCCTCCATCTCACCGCGGGTGGGAAAGGGAGGGCTGTGGCCTAGACGCCAGGCTGAGGGACAGCACCCAGCTTCACTCCTGGGTCACCTGCACAGGGAAGCACCCCCAGAAGACCCACGGCGGAGGGGACACCTGCCCTTTGCGAGGCTCTGGGCCCCCAGAGTCTGACTCTGCACTGACCCCCTGGCACACATGGCGGACCCCCAGGGCATGAGAGAGGAGGAAGAACAGGAGGAGGGAAGGAACAAGGGCGGCTGGTGGGCAGGAGGAGGCGTGTCGCTCAGGGGGCACTAGGTGGGGTGATGTTTTCTTGGGGGGCCAGGGCCTCAAACATCAAAACAAATGCTTTTTTCTTTTTCTTTTTTCTTTTTTGGCTTTTTGGGTCAAACCTGGCAATGCTTAGGGCTTACTCTGGCTCTGCACTCAGGAATCACTCCTGGCGGTGCTTGGGGGACCCGATGGATTGAACCCGGGTCGACCACATGCAAGGCAAATGCCCTACCTGCTGTGCTATCGCTCTGACCCCAAACAAGTGCTTTGTTGCTAAGTCACATCATGGTTGCGGGCGTGTGTGCAAACACACACACACACACACACGCACACACACACACAGCTGCTCAGGGCCAGTGTGTGAGCTTCAGCCCTTTGAGCCAACTCCCCAGGCCCCTAGAGTGTACTTTAATGGGGAATGGGGCCACGACCGGAGATGCTCAGGGGTCACTCCTGGCTCGGCACGCAGGAATTACTCCAAGTGGGCTTGGGGGACCATATGGGATGCTGGGACTAGAACTCGGGATGGTCGCGTGCAAGGCAAACGTCCTACCCACTGTGCTATGGCGCTAGCCCCTCAATGTAGTTTTAGAATGGACGAGGCAGGTGCCTCTGGCCCTGTTCTTATAAGATATTCACGCCTCCCACCGAGACTCAAGACTCGTGGGTGTGTTTAAGGTATGTTGCCCTCAAGGGCTCACAGAACTGAGTCACGGGGGGAAGTACAGGAGTCCAGGCCTGGCTTTTACAACCCAGACAGCTCACCCAGGAAGGCCCGGCCACCAGGGAGATGGCCAGGGCGAGGGTCCAGCGCCAGCCAACTCCCCAGACACAGGGCACCAGCTCCTGACCCGCTGCAGATCTCCGAGTCAGGGAAGTGACCGTTACTGTGTGAAGCCCCTAGGTTTTGGGGTGCCTGGGGCCGCGATTGTTGCAGAAGACGTTCATCTAACTGGTGATGATTTTTTTTTTTTTGCCACACCAGAAAGTGCTCAGGGGTTACTCCTGGCTCTGAACACAGGAATTATTCTCTGCAGGCTTGGGGAGATACCGGGGATCAAACCTGGGTCGGCCTCGTCTCTCAGGCGCTCTTCTGAGCTATACCCGGCGGTGAACGCGTAGACAGTGCTGGGGGCTGAGCCTGGTCAGCAGTGCCTCTCCTGGTGCACCATCTCCTCGCAGCTTTCTGGGAGAGCCACTGTCTGCTCCCCCGGGCTCCTTGGCACCCCCCACCCCTGCCCCCAGGCAGCCACCCAAAGCCCCGCTCGCCTGAAATCAGCGCCTGGGAGTCCCTCATGGGGAAGGAGGCGGACATGCCGAAGACGCTGCTGTTGAAGACGGTGGCAGAGCCGCTGACGACGGCCATGCAGACCATGGTGACCGCAAAGAAGCCTCGGGTCCAGGAGGAGGTGTCCACTTTCACCAGCACCGTCATCACCACGAAGATGGCCAGCATGATGGTCAGCGAGGTCAGCACCCGGGTGTGGACCGGAACCCTGAGGCAAAGAGACCAGAAGCAATGAGGCCCCCGGTGGCCTCCCTGGGGTGTCCTGGTGGCCGTTCTCAAAGGGAAGTGGCTATAACTGTCCACTCTGCAGTTGGAGGCCAGGGGCTGACCCTTGTCCTCCTGTCTGTGTGCCCTTGGGTAAGTGTCTCAGCCTCTCTGTTTTGGTGCTGCAGGAAGGAGAAAAGACAGACCCCAGGACGTGTGGGTGAGGGTCTCGGGGGGAACACGTAAAGCCGCCTTTCCCAAAGTGGGCAGTGCCACCCTGCAGAGGTCAGCCTCTGGGGCAGTAGTAGCCTCTGTACCTGTGGGAGGTGATTGCTTTATTTTTCAAATTGGGGAGGCAGAGAGCGCCACACCCAGCTGTGCTCAGGGCTTACTCCTGGCTCTGGGCTCAGGGGTCACTCCTGGGGGGTCTTGGGGGGGGGCCATACGCAGTGCCAGGAATCAAACCCGGGTTGGCTGCGTGCTGGGCCAGAACCCTCCGCAGAGTCCTGTCTCTCGGGTCCTGGGCGGGGGCCGGTGGGCACTTTCTTGCTTGTGCCCTTAAAAAGGCAGATTTCCCAGAGGGCACTGGGAAATTTTTTTTTCTGAAGAGGGGGTGACAGGCTGTTGGACTATATGCCCAGTGAACCCCAGCCTGGCAGTGGGAGGTGGGACCCCCATTCCCACCCCTCCTCAACACAGAACACGCTCAGAGTCCTGCATCTAGGCTCGGAGGGAGGGGGTCCTCCCCTTTGTTCTCACGGTTCCCCCTAACACAGGACACAGAGAGGGAAGCGGGCGAGGGGGGAGGCCAGCTGGGGGTCAGCGGTCAGTGATCCGGGAGGTCTGGCCGCCATTCGTCCTAGGTCCACGGCAGGGCGGATCCCAGAGCCCTGGCAGAGGCCGACCCTGGGGGTCTCGGAAGCTGGAGCCAGCTCCCGTGTGTGGCACAGAGCCAGCGCCCAGCCCACCCAGACACCGGCCCGCGGGCCTGGCAGGGAGGGAGGGTCTCAGAGAAGCGGCTTTCAGACGCCCCAGAGACAGCAAGCATCATCGAAAGGAGTCCCTTCAATCATCAGATTAGACTAAGCTTCAAAGGGGCTTGGGCTTCAGTTAATTCCCCTGCTGGCCAGTGGGAGGGGACAGGGGAGCCAGATTAATTACACACCGTTTGGGGGAGGAGGAATTTAAGAACAGAAAGGCGTGAAAGGGAGGAAAAGAAGCAGACATTCTCTCCGTCCGTGAGTGGGGGGTGGGGAGCCCAGCGAGATCCACCAGGGTCCAAGCGCTTTCGCAGCCCCGGGCAAGAGCAGGTGTGGCCAGAAGGAAGCTGGGTGCAGGGCGAGCACTGTGTGCAGAGCACTACATGGGTGGCCGGGACACTGGACAGTTGGGGCCATGCTGCCTTCAAGTGTGTGGTGTGCAGCGTGACAGGGCCGTGGGGGTCCTGGGTACCCTGAGGGCTGAGCTCGCCCTGGGGTCACACGGATCTCCGAGGGCACCGGGGGATGGCACAAGGTGCCCGTGTGGCTGTGGTGACGGCGCCAGCCTCGAGGGAGTCTGCTCTGCCCCCTAAGCCCCCACCCCGATCCTCAGGGTCACGGGGGTGTGTTTCTGCCAGCGTGCCTGTCCCCCTGCTGGGTGCGTCTCCTCCGTGGCCCGCTGTGAAGGGGGGGTGGCTGCTTGTCCCGTCCACACCCACACGTGATGGTGGGGAGCCGGGCTGGGATGACGAGTGTTGGGAGCCGGTGAACTTGGAGCTGGTGGCCAGGCCGGGCCGTGTGTCCTCCCTGGACTTGTCGGGACTATAGGTCATCCTTCATGCAGAGAAGCATGTGGTGATGGCCGGGGCACACACAGCACCCAGGGGACTCCAGGGCATCTTGACAGATTGTCCCCCACTGTTCTGTGTCCCGGGCCCCCCCATACAGTGTTCTGTCAGCCTCTGGATCAGCAACGCCCTGACTTTAAACTTCTTCTCGTGTGTGTGTGTGTGTGTGTGTGTGTTTGTGTGTGTGTGTGTGTGTATGAGAGAGACAGAGACAGAGACAGAGAGAGACAGAGAGACAGAGAGACAAAGAGACAGAGAGAGACAAGACAGAGAGAGAGACAGAGACCTGGCAGTGCTCAGGGCTTACTCCTGGCTCAGGGCTTACTCCTGGCTCTGTGCTCAGCGCTTACTCAGAGAGGACCATCTGAGTGTCAAGGATCAAACCCAGATCAGCCACATGCAAGCGTCTTCTTCACTGCTATGGCTCCAGCCCCTGACCTTAAATTCAAGGCACAGGTTGAGCAAAGCTTTTAGTGTCTCCAGCCTGTATTGCCATGCACACGAATAACCAGGACAGAGCAGAGGGTCCTAGGAAACAGGATGGGGTGGGGGGTGAGCTCCAGAGACCTCCCAAGACCAGCCTTGAGGAAGGGGGGAGGCGGGCGAGTGTCCCCCCTCTGAAGTCCAGCAGCCGAGCGCCATCAGTGGGAGGTGGGGTGGGCTGGCTGGGCGCCTGCTGGTGGCTGCCCCGCGCTCCTGTGGGGGGCTGGTTCCAGGATCTGTGCTGGAGGGGCCCCCGTGAAGGTTCGGTGGAGATGTGGGAATTGCCGAGATTCCAAGGGCCACAGGCAGGAGCTGGGGGCAGCGGGGCAGGGAGGGGGACAGGACCCTGGGGACACGGGCTCTGGAAGCCACTAGGTGCTGGGACGCTTAGCTCTGACACACGGGCGATTCTCCTGCCCAGTGTCCTCCCCACCCCCCAGAGGCTGGCACTCCCCTGAGTCCCCTCAAAACTGAGCATCCATCCGAGCCAGGAGCCGGTTGGGGCCACGGGCCCAGTCGCCGTGACCAGGCCAGCGCGAACCTCTCTGGGCCGGCTCCTGCCTCCCCAGAGGGAAGAGGAGGTGGACGTGACCCTGCTCACGTCCCTCCCACTCAGGAGGAGAGCTGGGCTGTGCCCACTAGTCCCCAAAGCTCCTCGGGCAGTGTGGGTGAGAGGGGGCGCCTCACACAGGCCAGCCTGATAAAGACGTGTGTGTGTGTGTGTGTGTGTGTGTGTGTGTGCGTGTGCGTGTGTGTGTGTCCGTGCGTCCAGGGGCCTGCCAGGAAGGGCCAGCTAGTGGGAACCAACTGTCCCAGGGGCTCTCTGTGTCCGCAGCATGGCAAGGAGACAGCCTGGCCTGGCCTGTGCCCCTCTGCTCGCCCCCCCCCCCCCCCCGATGAGGCTGCTGGGGCAGGAAGGTGACGGTGGAGAGAACTGGGTACCCTGTCTTCTTACTCAGGTGCCCTGGGACCATGGGCGATAAGGCAGCAAAGGCAAGGCTGCTGCCGCCTGCGAAACTCCTACCACCATGAGCTCCAGACCTTGGGGGGGTCTCTTGCCCGGGGGGGTTCTGAGTTCTGGAAAGCTCTGCGGAGCACCCCCCCAGCCCCAGCTGCAGCACAAAGGCCCAAATCACACTCACGTTCCCCTCCGCTTGTCACCCAGGGCGGGGAATGCAGAGCCGGGCGGGGATGCTGTTGGGATTGTTTTCTTTTTTTTGCTTTTTGGGGTCACACCCGGTGATGCACAGGGGTTACTCCTGGCTCTGCACTCAGGAATTACTCTGGGCGGTGCTCAGGGGACCCTATGGGATGCTGGGAATCGAACCTGGGTCGGCTGCGTGCAAGGCAAATGCCCTACCCGCTGTGCTATCGCTTCAGTCCCTGCTGTTGGGATTTTTAGGGAAAGTCCGGACAAGTGTGGCCTGGGTCAGTGGCTCCGGTCCAGGCCGGGGGCTGGGGCTGGGCACATGAGGTGAAACTCCTTAGAGTACCCAGCTATACCCAGGCCGCCAGCACCCCGGCCCAAAGCTCTTGCTGAGGAGGGCTCAGGACCTCAGGGAACGATTTCTCCTTAAATCTCCAAAATGTAAATCCTCCTCATAAGTATTTATGATGCTGCAGATTTAACATAATAAAACACTTGGAGATTATGGATGAGCCCGTTGGAGAAAGCTAAAGGTTCTCCAGGAGGGAAGAAAAGGAGACATTTCAATCTCACACATTAAAGACACACACACACACACACACACACACACACACACATACACACACACACACACACACACACACACACACACACACAGAGCTTAGCCTTAAACCATCTTCCCACCGTCTAGAAACAGATGGAGGCCTGCAAGCCTTTCCCCGGGTACCTGCCCCTCATGGCGCGACAGCCCCGGGCAGCCCCATCCTGGCTCTGAAGGGGAGGTGCTCTGTCACTCTGCCCTGTCACTTGGGCAGGGCCGGGAGCGTCTGCGTGCTCACACACCCACCCCGCTCTCTTGGAGATGGAGTTCAGAGCTGCGGGACTGCCTGGCCCCTGGAGCTGGGGACCCCCAGGGCCCCTCACAGTTCCCACAGACCCAGACCCTCTCCCCCGCCTCCTACCCCACAGCCTGAAACCAGGGCGATGGGATGGGCTCTGCCCACGAATCCTGCGGGCAGGTCCTGGGGATTCCGGGAGAAGATGTGGATGAGGCGGGGCTGGTGCCGGTTCTGCCAGGTTATGCTGCGGCTACACCAGGGCCCGCGTTCCCACCTGGGGCCCAGGGCTGGGCTGCTGCTCTTGCTCAGAGGAGCCCAGGAGGCCTCTCCAGGGCCCTACAGATCCCCTGTCCCCCACCGACCCGTCCCTCGAATGCCCTCCCCTCCTTGCCCTCTCCCTGACCTTCACCGACGGTCTCAGAAATCCTCTCCAGCCCACACCCTGGCCTCCGGAACCCCCATGCGATGCGCACAGAGAAGGCGGGCGGTGGGAGGTGGGGTGCTGTTGGGGTGACGGGTCTGTGGTCTGGACACATTCCCTGACCTCTGCCCTGGAAACGATCAGGGTCAGTCTCCTTCTGAGGTGGCTGTGCATCTCCGACGTAACCCAAAGAGGAGGTGCCAGGCATGACCCATTCTAGAAGGGGGACTGGAGGTCTCGTCCCAGCTAGACAAAGCCCCGCCCCAAGGGCCCGGCTGGGCCAGTGAGCGCAGGGCTGGAAAGGAAAGAGGGAGAAGAGGCGAGAGACACCCACCACAAGGCCCTGTCCGCTCTCTCCCTCCCCTGCCCGCCCGCCTCTTCCGAGTTCTCTCCCTTGCCCTCCTGCATGCCCCAGCCAGGGACCCAGTGCTGGCCCCCAGGGGCCCCTGGAGCTGAGGGGCTGCCCCTTCCTGCTCCCCGCTGCCTCCCGAGGGCCCCTCCCCCGCCCCGTGGTGAGTCTCTGCAGGCTGCAGGACGCTGACATGGACGCCAGTGCCAGCAGGGTCCAGGAGCTTACACGGGGCCCTCGGATGGAAAGAGAATCGCAGAGGCTCGGGCTCTCGGACCTTCACTCTCCTGCTCCTTCTGGGCTGACGCTGGGCTCAGGGTGTGCCCCCCGGGAGGTGAGTCTGTGACTCCTAGAAACCGGCTGGGAATTTTCTGATCACCTGGGTCCGTGGACTACCAGAGCCAAAACTTGGGTGTGACCTCAATTTAAAAAATCAAAAATTTTTGGTGCTCAAGGCTTACTCCTGGCACTGCACTCAAGAGTTATGTTACTCCTGGTTCTGCACTCAGGAGTCATTCCTGGCATGGCTCAGGGACAATGTGGGATGCAGGGGATTGAACCTGCGTCGGCCACATGCCAGGCAAGGGCTCTACCTGCTGTACTATCTCTCTGGCCCGTATCACGATGGCTTTAGGCCACCATACTTGAGTTCATACTTCATGCAAACACAACTCAGAAGTGATCTCACGGGGGGGGGGGGTATGTTAGGCAGAGAGGGTCTCTTTGGGCTCTGCCCACAGTCCTCCCCGAGGCTCTAGAACCTTCCTGAGAACCTGTGCTCTGCCTTAGAATGCAGGGGGTCAGGCGGCCACTGCCGCAGAACAGGCTGGGGAGAACAGCTCTGCCTGCCCTAATCCCAAACCTCACAGTGGGGACTGTCATCACCTCTGGGTGTCTGAGGGGAGACGCAGGCGAAGGAGTGTGCTCTGTTCTCGCCAGTGGGACCAGAGATGTCAGAGCAGGCCCTTCAGCCCCACACCAGGGAGATGCCGTCACAGTCACCGACATCCGACTGCTGATGTCTGAGTCACAGCAGACGGCAAAGCAAAGGCCGTCTCACTCTCCCCAAGACTGAGAACGTGTCTGCTGTCTACTCCACCACGACAGTTCAAAACGCACTGGGTCCAATTTTCCGTATGTCTTAAAATAAAAGTCTTGGTACAGAGCCGCAGTGCAGCGGGGAAAGTCCCTGCCTTGCACTTGACCGACCCTGGTTCAGTTCCACAAATCAATCATTCAATCCCCGAGCACCGCCAGCAGTGAGCCGGATTCCAGCTGGGTGCGCCAGCTCCCAAATTAAAATCAACTGATGAGGGTCTCTGGGAAGCCTCAGCTGGGGAGCCCGGCTCACTGGCCCGCTGTCCGGAAGCATCCGTCCTTCTGGAACACACGCAGATGAAGGCTCCGGCAACTCTAACACCTCTCCTAAATCGCTGTGAGTGTCAGGGGCTTGCGTGGGTGTGGCCAGCTGAGTGCATTAACCTCAGGAAAGCGAAGAGCCACGTCCACCAGCGCCCTAAGCCCCAACCCCCTGGCCATGTGGTGTCCCCCGATGGTAAGGCTAACGGCCCTGGCAGCAGTGGACAGACAGGCTTTCCATGTGCAGGCCCCAGCGCGGGGCTCCCACTGGCTGGGCTGCAGGTAACGGCACTCACTCTCCGTTGCGCTGAAGGGCCAGATGTGAAGGCTGGGGTTTGCGGGAAAGTGGCCCACCTGTTGACGAGCAGGAAGTTGGTCATCAGGCACAGCATGGAGGGCACAGTAGAGGCGATGGCCAGGTAGCTCTCGAAGTAGTTCTGCAAGCACAGAGGGAGGAGGTCACTCGGGACAGAAGGAGGTGGTCACCCGTGGGCAGAGACGAGGGCCTGCTGGGTGGGTCTCCCCCTCTGTCTCAGATACCCCCTGGGAGTAACGGGGGTCCTTGCTCAGACAGGCAGGTCCTGCGTCTCCTACCAAAGACCACCCACCCCTCACTCAGCAGTCACAGCTTGGGCCAAGACCAACCTCTGGGCCTCTCCTCGGACTGATGCGGCCGGAGCAAGGCACAGGGATGCTTCCTCAAAGGAAATCCCTCCTGCTCTGGCCTTTTTGCTCATCGCCAAGGACCAAGGCTAGCCTGGAGGGTTGTTAGGACACCGCTGGTTCTCACTTTTCGTTCCCTTTTGTTGGGGGAGGGGGTGGGAGTGGAGGGTAGGGGGTAGCACTACACCCAGCAGTGTTCAGGGCTAACTCTTGGGTCTGTGCTCAGGAATCACTCCTGGGGAACCAGGTGGGGATCAAACCCAGGCCAGCTGTGCAAGGCAAGCACCTATCCTGCTGTATGATCTTTCTGGTCCCTTGTTCTCGCTCTCTTACAAGGGGAATTTCAAAAAAACTGCTTCACCCCCCCCCCCACCCCAGCCTATCCCCCCTGCTCCCTGAAAATGTATTCTGTTTTTAATTTTTTTTTTTATAAAGGAGCTGGAGCGATAGCACAGCGGGAAGGGCGTTTGCCTTGCACGCAGCTGACCCGGGCTCGATTCCTCTGTCCCTCTTGAGAGCCCAGCAAGCTACCAAGAGTATCCCGCCCGTACGGCAGAGCCTGGCAAGCTCCCCATGGCATATTTGGTATGCCAAAAACAGTAACAACAAGTCCCACAATGGAGACGTGACTGTTGCCCGCTTGAGCAAAATGATGAACAATGAGAGGACAGTGCTACATACTACATTTTTATAAAGTTGTTCACAATATTTGATTACATTTTAATATTTGAACACCAATCCTACCACCATCACACCTTCCCACCACTGTATTTCGGAAACTTTATTCTGACTCGGGGCTGAGATCTCCAAGCCTACTCGGATCGGGGCCGAGCATCCTCCACCCAGATCCTCCAAATTCCAGTAGACGGGGGTCACACCCACCAACTGGCCCCCTGGCGCCGTGTAATCCCATCAACAGCCAAGACTCAGAGACTATAAAACCCAGCTCCTGGAAGCGTGCGGCCGCATTTGTGGCCATGTGACATCTTATTATCTCATTCCTACTTTGGACAAACTGGCAGGCTACCGAATGTAATCTGCCCACACAGCAGAGTCTGGCAAACTCCCCGTGGCGTACCCAATATGCCAAATACCAGTAACAATGATGGGTCTCATTCTCCTAAAGAGCCTTGAATATAGCACTTTCTTAAAAATCGTAGGGCTAGGATGAAGGAGACGTTACTCGGGGGCCTTCTCGAGGCAATCGACGAATAACAGGATGGTCGTGATTCGTGATTCTGGACTCTGAATTCGCTTCGTCAACGGCGCAGTTAGCCATGATCAAAGCCCCTGGTGGAAGCAGCCAAAGGGTATCACAAAGGACAAAGATGCCCACAAGCAAGAGGAAGGTTTCCTCCTGGGCCTTACAGCTCCAGAATCTGGTGGGGATGGTGTGATTCTGATCCGTTTACTAAAAAGGAAGAAGACGAACTAGAGCCGGCCGACATCCCTTGGCCGAGGTTATTTGTCAAGCCACGGGCACAGGCAGGTACCAATGCCGGCTTCTAAGTCACGATAACCGCGTCTTAAGCATTCCCTGTGCTGTGTCAAACGCATGGGCTGAAGGTGAGTTACACTGTTCACCCTAATTACACATAGGAAGAGTGTTCTACTCCAGAGAGCTCACGAAGTTAAACTTAACAGGAAACATTTTAAGTATGGATGAGCTGAATGCCAAGAACAATAGGTGCAAAAAAAGAAAAAAATTCCTGGAGCTAGAAACCCTGGGTGGTGGGACTCTGGGGCAGGAGCCAGGGGGGGATCGGGCGTACCACTGGGGGTGTGAGAGAGGGCGGAAAGGGTGTTTAGCGTCTCCCAACACCAGGAGGAGAGATGTCAGAGTCCTGCCTGGTTTCTGTTCACGCGTCCTGGCGGAGGCAGGGGTGGGGGGGAGGGCTGGAGGGGGAGCGGGCTCGGGCTGGGCGAAGGTTCTGGACCTTGAAACAGGAGGTCACGTCTCCTTTCTGGGAGCGTCTGAATGCAGTGTGCAGACTGAGAGTCATTCTAAAGGGTCGCTTCTCGTCCAGGGCACAGACCCTCCCGAGGCTCTTTGAAAGAAAGCCTGCCGAGTGCTTTGTGGGCCTTTGAAATCTAGACCCTGAATGTGGATGGTGGTTGCGGCCAGGCAATTAAAATGATAATCACAGCCAGTGAGGCCCATGAACCATGCGCCTCAGAAATAGCCTCTTCCTTTGAAGTGTCACCTCATTGTTCCCGCCCTGATGGGCTCAGCAGAGCCTGGACGGGTCCGAGGCACTCAGTCAATGATGGGTGGCTGGGCTGACGTGAGGCCACAGGCAAGGCCCTCGGAAGGAGGGACTGCAGAGGGCTGGGGGCTGTGCTAGGGGCAGGCCTTGCCCGGGGAGAATCTGGCATCTGGTTTTCGAGCAGGCACAGGTTACCCAAAAGGCGGGGGGCTTGCTGGTCCTTCCACAGAGCACGGCTCTTTCCGCACTGGGTGGATTTTTAAAACCAGTGGACGGGACACCGGCTCCCTTCTGGGACTGAGCCCATTTCTCTGCTTTACACAGAGGGTGCTGAGGGTACAATGAACCGGCTCTGGACATCTTCCTTCCTACCTGAAGGGATGAGCGCCCCCTTCCCACCACCCACAACGCCTCCCACTGGCTGTTGTGGTGACCGAGGTCACACAAATCTGGTTCTGGTGCTCACACACTTGGTGTGGTGTGTATGCGCGCGCGCGCGCACACACACACACACACACACACACACAGTGGGGAGCCTACTCCATTGCAATATAAATATGGTTTATTATGGGGGCTGGAACGATAGCACAGCGGTAGGGTGTCTGCCTTGCACGCAGCCAGCTTGGCCGACCCGAGTTCGATTCCTCTGGCCCTCTTGGACAGCCCGGCAAGCTACTGAGGGTATCTTGCCCTCACGGCAAAGCCTGGCAAGCCACCCGTGATGTATTCGATATCTCAAACACAGTAACAACAAGTCTCACAATGGAGACGTTACTGAGCCCGCTGGAGTAAACTGATGAACAATGGGAGGGACAGTGCTACAGTGCTTATTATGGGGGAACTCCCAAACAGTGCTCAGGAGTCTAGAGGGCCATGTCTGCGCACACTTGGCCACCCGGGCTGGACTGTCCAGTGCTCAAGAGAGAGGCCCTGCTTGGTCCGTGGTGCTGGGGACACTGGGTCTTCCCCGCTGGGGGCCATGCAGTGCCAAGAACTGAACCAGAGTCCCATACAGGCTGTGTGCCCCAAACTCTGTGCTCTCAGCTTGGCCCACAGCATAGTTCCACGGACTAATTTTTGCTGCTTTTGTCTGTGCAGACTCCTAGTGGAACGAGGCATGGCGGGGTGACATAAGCAGCCCTCTGTGATCCCAACCGCCTTTGTTCATGCCCTGTGCGGCCCCTCTGCTGAGTGTGTGTGGTGAGTTTGAGGCTACATGGTGGCAAAGTCTCGGGTACCCGTGGCACTGAGTTGGGGAGGCAGATGATCCAGGGTGGGTGGGCGGCACGGCTGTTCTCTTTAGCTGAGTACCAGGTCGCTGGCATCTCTGCCCCAGCAGGGGTAAGCACAGACCCCAGCCCATTGGCTCCTGCCCCAGCTGGTGGGAGGAGCTGAGAAGGTCTGGACCACACAGCAGGGAATCAAGGCTACAAGCTTCCCATTCAGGACACAAGTGTGGGTGAAGACTATGAGAAACATCTCGGGTTCATCACGTTTGATTTTAAAGTCAATTCACTGTCACTGTTGCACTGTCCTCCCATTGTTCATCAATTTGCTCGAGCGGGTCCAGAAACGTCTCCATTGTGAGACTTTGTTGTTACTGTGTTTGGCATATCGAATACGTCACGGGGAGCTTGCCAGGCTTTGCCGTGAGGGCGAGATACTCTCGGTAGCTTGCCGGGCTCTCCGAGAGGGGCGGAGGAATCGAACTCGGGTTGGCCATGTTGGCTGCGTGCAAGGCAAATGCCCTACCTGCTGTGCTATCACTCAAAAATAAAACCTGGCGGTGCTCAGGGGACCATACGGGATGCTGGGGACTGAACCAACCAGCAAAGCAAACACCTCTCCACTGTACCATGTCTCCTATCCTGGAGCGATAGCACAGCAGTAGGGCATTTGCCTTGCATGCAGCCAGCCCGGCTGAGCCGGGTTCGATTTCTCCGCCCCTCTCGGAGAGCCCGGCAAGCTACCGAGAGTATCTCGCCTGCACAGCAAAGCCTGGCAAGCTCCCCGTGACGTATTCGATATGCCAAACACAGTAACAACAAGTCTCAAAATGGAGACGTTACTGGCCTGCTCGAGCAAATCGATGAACAACAGGAGGACGGTGTTTTTTTGTTTGTACATTTAGGAATCTTTTACCGCTGCCAACATTTTCACATCCTCCTGGGCTGAACAAGAGAAGTGGCTATTCTGTCAGAAAAGATGAAGTCATGAAATTTACATACCAGTGGTACTACATGGAAAGTATCATGATAAGCGAAATGAGTCAGAAAGAGAGGGACAGACACAGAAAGACTGCATTCATCTGGGGAACATAAAGTAACAAAATAGGAGACTAACACCCAAGAATAGCCGAGATAAGTACCAGGAGGTTCATTCCATGGCTTGGAGGCAGCCACACATGCTAGGGGAAAAGGCAGCTTAGACAGAGAAGGGAGCACCAAATAAAGGGTGTTGGGAGGATCCTCCCAGGATGGGAGATGCATGCTGAAAGTAGACTATGGACTGAACATGATTGCCACTCAACGCCTCTTTTGCAAACCACAGCACCCAAAAGGAGAGAG